GGACAGCAGGAAGAACTTCAGGACAAGGTGCAGCGGTGGCAGGATGTGCTCGCTGAGAATGGACTCCGGCTGAACGTAAAGAAGACCAAGTTCCGAGCTCCAAAGAATGCACTGAACTCATCCTAGACCGCCACATCGAAACCATCAGAAGGATCGGGGACCCGGAACCTGAAAGGTGACATCGTAGCTGATGGTGTGCCAGGCGTTAAAGGCTAGAATCAACGCAGCCTGGATGGTATGGAGGTAGTTCACAGGCATCTTCTGCTAACAACGGTGCTGAAGAACGCTCAAGGGCAAGGTGTACCGGGCAGTAGTTATGCGTGCGATGCTCTCAGTGAGTGCTGGCACGTGCAAGGACCACGAAAGGCAGCTGCACTCAGCTGAAATGAGGAATAGGTTCGAAATGAGGGCGTCAAGGCAGCCACACAGATTGCTGCGATCCGCTGAAGGCACGAGTTTGGCGATTGCGACTGTACTGTGTGCATGTGCTGAGGAACCTGAAACCACCCAATAAGGGAGGCGTTGAAATTCGAAGTACAAGGCAAGCGACCTCGAGGATCCCGAAGAAAAAGTGGAGGGACGCGATCAAGAAAGGACCTCACTGAAGTGAAAGCCACAGCAGAAGATGCAGTGGATCGGAACAAGTGGCGACGTCTAACAAGAACAGCGGACCCTGCGACGGCGCGGGACTAACGCTAGGGAGGAGTAAAAAGGGGAAAACAACTTTCTACTAGCATTTGGGAAAGGACTTCATTAGGCCGTTATCATGCCATTATCACCTCGACAACACTAATGGCCGCCCCTCAGAATATGCAAGAGAAAAATAATAAAAGGTATTTTCTGTGGGACTTACTTTTAGATCACATTCATGCACTTTGATGCATGGCCGCCGGACACGTGGCCTGATCTCGATCTTCTTGGACCTTTCGTTCATACATTATCGAAGAGGGAAGTTCAGGTGGCTGAACTTTATTTTTCGGCCTTTGTTAAGAAGTTTCTATGAAAAAGTTGTTTATAGGTAATGCGAAAGTCGTTAGACAATTATATTCCTCCTGTTGTCATTCAGAGTGACGATGGCCTTGGAAGGTAGTGCTCCTCAGCCGTTATCTTTGAGGGTTTTTCCTAACCTTCCCGCATAGTTGCTGATGAGTTATTGCAGTACCTTTTAGGGGTCCTGTCATATGGGTGGCGACGATTCTCATGAAGGACATAGAGAAAAAGGAATGTTTCGATGTGGAGGATCTGGCGAAGAAATGCGCAAGGCGTGTTTCTGAATCGTATTTTATCAGCACTTTTTTTACAAATTTTGGGCGCTGAGGAAGAGAGGGGAAGAACACGGGGCGGCATGTACATTTCACCACATTGACTCACTCGCCTGACGTGGAAGACGCGCTTTGCGCGGGCACCTGAAGCTTTGCGGGAGTAGGGTGATCACAACGACATGGGTTGTACTAGTAGCGCTCACAGACACGACGATGTCAGCGGGGACCCCGCTTCTCCCCGTCTTTACCTTCAGCGCTGAACCCTGTCCCCACAAAAGGAACCTTTTTCGAATGCACAACCAGCGATTCCGAAAAGTGAGTGAGTCAGAAACAAAAGTGTGAAGAGAAGGCCCAAAACAGACCCCTGTTGGCCTCGTGCACAGTACGGCCACGAGACGAGGGGAAAGGAAAAAAGGAAGGGACGACAGAATGGCGAGATAACACACTATGAGCGAGATGACATCGCTCAGAACGATTGCGGATGGTGAAAGAGCAAGGGAAGAGAAGCTGACTCCTAGCAGGCGGAGCCTGATGGTCATGGCAGATCTCTGACGTTCTTGTAAGCACTTCCATGTCACCACAGTGGCACAACTATGGTCCCTGCAAACGATGGGACGGAGGATGGGGTCGTGGTTTGGAACGCAGCCAAGACAGATTTCTCACCGCTTGTAGCGAACTCAGGATGGTACATCACTACTGGTACCAGGCCGCCCTGGCTGCGCTCCCAGCCGCGCCGCTTCACATGTCGTTTGCGGAGATCATCACTGTACATTCGGGCGGCTGCATACCGTGTCACCTTCTTCTTCTATGCATAGGTAGCCGTAAGATGTATCTTTAATCAATTTTTTACCATAGAAATTTTAAAAACGTGCACGTTCACTGATGATTTTAGAGCTCGACCGGGTGCATTTCATAAGAAAGTTTATTTCTGCGTTTTACTTGCTCTTGCTTTTCGACTTGCATCACTTGGTGGATGGATTGCGTTAGAGGTGAACAGAATTTTATTTTAATGTGGTCACGAATTATTGAAAACGTTTATTCACAATGCCAGAGTACAGTCGTCATCCTTGCACTTGATAGGGGCGTGTCGGCGAGAAGGAGCGTGCACACTGTTTGAAGCCTTCTCAGCCTTTTCGTTGAAACGCGTATGCGACAAAAAGTGATAGAAAACGAGTAACACGAAGGATATAATACAGTAATGTCACTTCCTGGTTCAACGATTGGTGCAGTACGGGTGCGGGCGACCGCGCCGCACTGACATTGACTATCCAAGTGCAAGGATGACGACTGTACCCCTCAGAGCGCGTTCAGACTTCGCGATCGCGCGATCCGATCGCGCTACTGTGGGTGAAATTACACCGGGAGGGGGTCATGTTCGTTCATGTTCAACTCAACTCAACAAACAACAACAACAAAGTTCTGGGAAGGGAGTCGTACTGATATCACCATTTCTCACATCACGATGCTGTATCCTGCCTCCAATAGGCAGTTCCAAAAACGATATAAAAGTAAGTTCGACCTTTTTTGATGTCTTTTATTCCGTGTTCATATTCGCAATACTGACGTTTGCAGAAACCGTCGAAAGGAAAGGTTGTGTATAGACCTGGAGGATGGCAGAACAAACAAAGCAAACACAATGTGACAAAAGTAAAGTGAATATCTGGAGGACTGGCAAAATCGGGGGAAGGGAGAGAAACAACATCACCCGCTGTTGAAAGTTCTGCGTGTCTTACTTTTGGAACAAGATGTTCAATACTCCGCTTGAACGTACTCAGATGCAAAATTCAGTATAATAATTAGCATATTGTATATTTAGTACTATTTTACATAGGAAATAATAAATAACTCAAAGATATTTCGAAACGTTCCTTAAAATTAGGAGGGCGTTATGTACACAAAGGAAGAAAGAAGGAAAAGGAAAAAAAGAACAGGAAATAAACATGAACTAACATGATCCCCTCCCGGTGTAATTTCACCCACAGTAGCGCGATCGGATCGCGCGATCACAGCTATCGCGCGATCCGGATCGCGATGCCGGATCGCGCATCGCGAAGTCTGCACGCGCTGTCCAGTGACACACGGCTGCTGAAAGTCTCAAGTCTACAGAAAGCTCAAGTCTACCGACCATAGCGTGGTTCGGGGGTGGCCAATACTTGACCAGACGACAAGATAGCCGCCTACTTTCTCAAGGAGTTACTGCGTCAGACATTTTCCCGAGCAACTGGCCTGCACACGTTTTCACTTTCCTGTACAGTAATGCGCAAATGGACAACGGTCAAGTTAATTAAGCGAGGTGACACACTTTTGCCCCCAAGTGTTTGCTTTCGAAAGCAATGCTGCACTCCCCAAAAACTATCACGGCTCTTATAGAACGAAAAATGTGCAAACACGTCATCATCTGAGGGCGTGATCCGGAGCGTAGCCAGAACAGCTTTTCACGCCAATTGTTGCTGACTCAGAATGGCATCATTGGTGGGATAGGCCGCATTGGAAGCACGCCCAATTCTTCATACCCTCAAGCGGCCTAGGTTTGGCCTGGATCCACACGGACTGTAGCTCTATCGGTAACATTTTATGAATATGAGCATTCTTCTTCCTTACAACGAAAGTATTCAGGATGCTCGTACAAGAATGAAAGACATACAAGGAGCTTATCAAGAAAGTTTGAAGAAGTAGCTGTTGACAATAATACTTTGAGAATGGTTACAATACATATTCGGACAAATATCATAAACTCGACGCGATTGTGTACAAGAGAAAGTTAAAGAGTTATGTGAATTGTGTTGTGTTCAATTGGCATACTTATATCGAACAATCTTAAAGTTTGTAACATCGCAATTAGTCGGGGGGAGGGGGTACCCGGAGGGACAGTATGAGCTCCAGCTACCTCATTAATGGTGACCGGCTACTGATCGATTTGGAAAGAAAATAACCAGTGGGATTACAGGACTCTTGTCAACCAAACTTTCTCTCGCCTCGAGGGCCTAGAGAATTTTCCCCGTCGCAACTCCGGTCGAGCATTCGAAGGATGAAAAAAGAAGAGGAACAGAGAAGGAGGGGAGGAAACGAAGGAGGGAGGAAGAAAAAAGGGAGGAGGTAGCTTCGCGGTTGACAATATCCTGAGATGAACCAGTGGGGGCAACGCAGGGGATATGTGGCAAGAGAATCGTAATTCGCCGCGCCAGTGGGCGTCGCGTGCGACGTCGCGCCCGCTAATGACGACGATTTCAGGTGGTATTGGTCGAGAACAGACATGTATGACCAAAAATAGATATAAGTTTCTACTTAGTTTCTACTATGTCCTTGTCTACATGAAATCCGATGCTCCAATCGAAAGGGTAGTGCAAATTGAGGAAACGTCGCACCTTTGCCGCGCGCGACGGAGCGGCAATTTACGGTTCTCCTTGCCCGTCTCTCCAACGCAGGTGAGGTATATCCATCTCTGATTGCGACGATACCAATTGTAAATTAGATGGACCGGCTGAGTCGCGCTCTATTCTTGCTCGTCTGCGTGCTCTAAATAGTAAGTGGACTCTTGTTTTATGTTTTTCTCTGCGCTTTTAGGCTTCCATGACGTTCTGTGACCTCATTCCCTACCTACATTCTCTCTTTTCACGCATGATAAACGGCTCATCTACCCTCAGGACCGCCACCAAATGTTCCAGTGATAGACTTCTTACTTGGTTTTTCGCGCGGAACCGGTTATTCTATCACAAAATCGTGGCCGCGGAAATAGTTTGGAGACAGCGACGCCCGACATCGAATGAACATGTTGGTTAAGTATGTAGTAAGATTGTTGCAAAAAGGGCCTGAAAGGAAAGGTGGCGTGGGCGCTCAAGTCGCGCCTAATAGGAGGAGCCTCGCAGTCGATTCAAAGGCTAAGAATAGTCTCTAATCACAACCAGCAGTGTCTCGCTTCTACGAATACTCATCCCGATCTAGGACCTTATTTAGGACGTCATTGACAGTTTTGTCTACTTTCTCTTCACTTCTTCACTGATAAGACCCACGAATTCGTATTTGGACCCCAGACGCCGCGAAGTGTAATTGTAGAACGTGTCTTCAATGGTACTTTGAGCCGTTGAAGCAGAAGTCCAATCCTCGGATGTCCAGGATGTGTCCTTTTGGTTCCAAAATGCGCAAGAAATGGGCTCCCAGCTCATCATTCCTCCATTTGACCTACTATCCCGGGCGCTCAAGCTGTTCCAATGTTCTGAGATCGTGGGCTAGGCTCTTCCTACAAGGAAGGGACTTCAGCTATTTGAAATACACTGAAAATAGAATGGGGGAAAATATTACCAACGAAATCAAGAAAAAAATGTCACGTGGATCAATGGTATAACAGGAGGATCTCCTTTTCTTCTTAAACAAGTTAGTTCGTTCTGCAAAGGAGCAAAAAATCATCAAGGAACTATTTCAGTTTGCAGCGAGACGCCATCTTATCTGCGAAATCGTGACAAGCGTACTTTGAAGCCCCCTTCTGTTGTAGTTGGAAAACAGATAAGAAGCTGGACTACGTTTTTCATGAATAAAGTTTTGATTAAAATACTTCATATGAGTACATTGAAGAAAAATACGAAGAAGAAAAATTACTCGGGATCATTCCGTGCTGGGGCACATGCCCATGTAGGCTATCGGATGTCTTGTCAATTCCAGGGAAGGTAGATAACAGGGTCAAAATCTCTGGCTTTTCTTCAACATCTGCTTAGGACCTAAGATGGCATCCGCGAAGGATCCCGGGGCATGAGGCTGGACTGACAAGTTCGTTCGGTTCCGCACCGACTAACCGTTCGTACAGCTTTAACATGATACCAGTGTAGTATGGTGCACTCGATCGCATCTGCCTCTTGTGTGAAGGAGTGAGCGCAGTTCGGTAACGAGGTGGGAGGGGGAAGAAGCATTGTACCTTCCGCTGGTTTACTAGTTCCGGTTTGCAA